ATGTATGTATATATGTATGTGTTATATATATATATATTGTGTTGTGTGTGTGTGTGTATGTATATATATATATATATACTTATATATATATATATATTTATATATATATATGGGTGTGTGTTTATATATGTATCTATATATACGTGTACGATTGTTTATATGTGCATAGGTACATTTTTACGTGTATACATATATATTTATATATATATATACGTGTGCGTAGGTATGTACTTTTGTTATGTTTATATGTATATGTATGAATTATGTATACTTGTATGTATGCAAGTGTTAATGAGTTTATGTATACTGAATACATAGATATTTGTATATATATGTTATTTTGCGCGTGCGCAGATACAGCAGATACATTCAAATACAAAGCATCAATCATATGTAAAAATATAGATATGTTTTCAAACTCTGGCTTTCAAATATATACACGTGTGATAGATTAGAAGTGGCGAGCCATGATTGCAGCAGTATTGACCGGGCTAGTTTCTAATCATTCATCACTGATATATTCACTCCGGAACATGAGTGTGGCTTAATACTAAAATACACAAGAGCTAAAAAAACAACAACCGACCACTCCACATGTGATCGGGTTCCTGTCGATAGCCGATACAGAACTAAAAGTTTGAACCACAATCATCAGCGTCTGTTGTCAACTACCTATTAGCCTTCATTTCTTCTACTCTTTATGACGCATTATATAGTCACGGTTGCCTAGCATATATTTCGTCTTGATGATGCTAGCATCGAAGGAGTGGTGTTCATCCGCGGGAAAGACATACAGTGGGTTTTACGCTGTTGCTGGACGTCGGAATTGCAATCATGCGCTACACAAATATGTCCCCGGTGGTCGTTGCGTCCAGCACGCTCAACTCGCAACGAAGCTACAGTGACACAGGCCAAGAACTGACCGGCTGCAAATTCTCACTGATGAGGTGGCTACACATCCTCCAGCAGGCCCAATTGCTGGTAGTCCTGTACACGGGCCATACACCAATTTCAAACATCATGGCTAATTCCTCAAAATATATACAGGGCAACACTCTGGAAAACCGTACTACCTAGGATGTATTTTGTGTTGATTTTATCACGAGTTAGTTTACAATGTACTTATTTATACATTCGTACTTCTTTTTATTTTTTTGACTCAATTCAAAGGTCGTTTTTAATAAATTGGTCAGGTTTGAAAGAAAAATGAGCATAGGAGATGAAGTGTTGTATATTCGAATCTACATATCAACATGTTTACGTTCTGAATGGTTGATTGTTATAACTTCTGCCCCGTTGTTGCTACTCAAAAACAGCTATGAAAGTCAGTTGCGATTTACAACCTCCGGGACTAATTCGTTTTCTTGACTACTCTTCTTAAAATCAACTTTTTAATACACAACTTCCATCGCCAATACCATCGTTTCGTTATTTGAAACACATGTGCACCGTGATAGCAACAATGATTTGATTGACTCGACGGTACCACCATTTTAGGCTTCACTGACGATTCTTCTACAAAGTGTATATCTCATTATATGAGTACACCACGCACTGACGTTTATAGGTCGTTTATTCGCTTTAGTGACTCGTTTCTCATCACACCAAAGTTTGACTACTCATTCAGGCAGTAAGCAGCATTTTTACAATATGGTCAGTGGAATAGTAAGTATTCGCCCAATCATTAATTGTTTTTTTTGGGGAACCACTATGTGAATTGATTTTAAGACAGTTACGTTCAACGATAGGCTCTGTACATCTCTTTTGAGACTCAAGTGTCAACTCTGATGGGCGACAAACGACCTTTTTAAAACATCTACATGCGTCATAAACCATTTTATGTCTTTAATGCCCGATGTTCAGTTTTTCGGAAGGGGTGGAGGAGAGGAGGAGTTGTTCTTTTGATATTGTCGTCATATCGACCTTTAAAGGGAAATGGATTTCCTCAGTGCCATAAAATTCGAATGTCAGTGCGCATGTTTACTATGGTTTACTATACCACTCAATTCAATCAAAGTACAGCAAACACATTACTCGTATGATTATTTCATAGTGAATTCTTATTCCTTCAACAGTCGGAGCAGCTTCAAACGATAAAGTTGAATTTAAATATTGGACTCTGTCGATATGTGAAGTGATTCAGTAGACTACTCAGGGTATTGTTTCGCGTAGTCGATGATCGACAATTGAATACTATAGTGCTGGATTATTAAAGATCTGTAGTGGTGCAGCCATTCACTATTTTCAGTTCACGTTCCCGAACTTGATATTATTGTTGACACCGAATTTTGGGTATCGATTCACTTGATGCATATAGTGGTACATTTATACTTGGCGTGACTGCATATACTTTGATATTCAGACCAATCGCTCAGATTTTGCCGAAATCTCGAAGGCTTGTTCGAAACTTTCCTTCTTTCATGATGCTGGTCCATATCATACAGAAAACACTGAAATCTACTGCCGATACCTTTACATTATGGCACAATCAATTTTTCAGAATACTGTGGTTTGTTATACCTGAACTAGATAGCGGCCACCCCGACTTCCAATACTCTATCGTCACTATGGACATGCATTCAAAATAAATCAAGGAGAACTCTTAGTGCCGCTTGTTTAGATATAGTGGCTACCCATAACCCGATGAAAAATGGACAAATTGGTTTATTGAGTACATCAATTGCAATTGTACTTGAATATACTGCCAGATGCGGGCAATAGATTGATCAGTATGTATTCTAAAGTTGCGGCGAAATGGTATCACGACTGATCACGCATCGCACGATATCATAGGTGGCCGAAAGAGTAAAGTTGAAGTGACGAATGAGTATATTTTGGGCGCCTTCGGTGCGAGTATCCTAAGCAGTCCCTATCTGCATTCACTCGTCGCTAACATACGGGGTTCAGCGTTTACATGTACTAAATGCTCAGAACTCAAGTTCGTACATAACCAAATGCAAGTGAAATTAAATACTTTTTGCATGCCTGTTTCCATTGGAGTTTATATAAAACGGGGTTTAATTTTGCATACATAGCTTCAATTTGCAAAAGATTTGTCAAGAGTTTGGTCAACGACATAACAGGCTTTGAGGTATGTTAGACTGAGTGTACAACCGTTACCGTTATTACTACAGTTTAACTGATCAAAGTATGGAGTATGAGAAACGGATCGACGCGTTGGCTTTCCATAGATATAATGTCTGATTTATTACAATGTACGATTTATGCCGGGTTATCGTGCAGCAGAAGACCAAATACACTCGGTAGGTTGCCAGTGACCGTGGTTACCAGCTAAAATAGTGTCGGAGCACTACATGACGATTCCAGTTTCACCAACTCCACTGCTTCGAAACACCACATTTGCTTGATACTTAATTGGCTCAACCCAATAAAATAGATTGAATAGGTCACAATGGCATTCTACTAGATACCGCTTTTCTTTATTAGGCTCTATATTAACTTCTAAATCTACATAGGCTAGTCTAGTTTAGGCGTCACTGTGACCAGGTACTGCCCAGGTGTGGGCTGCACAACAAACACCTCCTCGTCGCGAACTCTGGCCGTTAGTCGTAGACGGGTTAGGTCGTACACCCCAGGCGTGACGCACGTAACCACCGTTTCTAATGATGGACGAATGAAGGTGAAGACAGAACTAGAAGGTAAGTTGTGCGCCAAATGTGTATTGGGTTTGTAAGATATATTCATAAGGGGAAGCAACGTATCAAGTATTATATGGAAACCATCTCAATACAGGCATAGCTAACTTGGTATATCTCGTACAATATTACGTATATTACTAGTAGTTGAATAGTGTACAACAATCGCAGTGAATGAAGTTGAGATGTGATATTGTCATTGGCAGCACTGGTGAGAGATATACTCGCGAGCTAGGGATCAGCTTCTTACTAAGCAACGCATGTCCACGAGTGCTCAGAATGTATCTGGGTAAGCAGGCGTACAATTCAAGTACTCATATTATGTCATGATCTTGCTGTGTGTCCCACTAGTGTTACCAGTACCTACGAACATAGGCCTTCTAATAACTTAGAACGAGGCAAATGTAACGAAGACAAGCCACGACCAAGGGCAGGTCTCACGACATAGAAAGCAAACAAAACCTTGAAGGTTGCTGCACAAGCAATGAGGGTCTTCAAATTTTACACAATGCACACCGTAGCACACAACACACATACAAACACGCACACGAACCAGTGCCATGCACGCAAACAAAGTAGATATACGCACGCACACAAACTCGCAATTCACACACAAAAAGTAAACACACGTGCGCACACAGCCACACAATTCACACACACAAACACGCACACGGCCCAGTGCCATGTAAAAATACAAAGTAAACACACGTACGCACACAGCCACACATACCTGTCGTGACGCTGGAATCGGCTGGTATTGTGCACGTTGAAATCGACTTATTCACCCAAGCAAAACGGGACGTAACCGGTACAGTCAGCTCAGCGCCCTCTCTGAATCGGCCGTATGTCACCAAAAAAAACATAAGTATCATAGGTTTGTAACAACACTCGATTGGGAATTAAACTAGTACCCGTCGACAGTATCTGGGATAGGTACCTACTGCGTCATAAAGCGGGGTGCGCGTACAGAGTGAGCTTGCCGTACGAACGTATATTATGTACATAGAAAGGGATGGTTGCTGTACCAATGAGATATGCAACACATAATAGATATAGCGTTAAGCGACCGGCGTGGGGAATATACCTTACTTGAACCACAGGCATTCACAGGCAGAGACAAACACGCAACTTTGCCATCCGTCAATAGGAACGTCAAAAATTCGCCATTCTCCAGCCATTCACAATTCATGTAAGTTTCCCTCACATCACGAAATATAATGAACCACGGCCGCCCAGGTTAAACTAAATGCTCAAACATCCACTCATTCCCATACTCCTGCAACTGCTCGCGCTTCGAGTCATACTTCTATGATTGTCAACTTAAGCACATACCCTTGGGTGGCACTCGGCGGTAAGAAGTTGACACAGACGTGTATGGTATCGTGTCCAGACGCGTTCTTCATGACCAGCTGCACGGGGATTTCACATACGCTGTTGTGGTTGTGATGGAGAATGTGGGTGTGATTCAGGGTCGAAAACTTGAGGACAGCACGACATACAATACACCATAAGCTATATATATAAATATAAATATAAATATAAATATAAATATAAATATATATATACACACACACACACACACACACATATATATATATATATAATATATATATATACACACACATATATATTTATATACACACACACACACATATATATATATATATATATATATAAATATATAGAAATATATATATATATATTATAAAACACTATTAAAAGTAGCATGCTTGGAACTCGAAAGTTCTACAAATCGTGCCCATGAACTGTACCACAGTCAGTGTGCCGTAACCCGGTTGAGAAATGTAAATACAATTCGGATTTTCAGATGACGGGTTCACAGGCCAAACAACACTGTGAGAAGAATGGCCAGGAACTGGCATCTGCTCAGCAATCTCTAACCCCTGTTCTGCCCAGAGGGACTCTGTAGCACCCAGTGCACGCACACTTCACACACAATGATAGAATAGGGTGAGATCGGTGCGTGTACTGTATGTCAGCTTATGGATGCTATGTGCGTATGCACCAGGAGTGCGTGACTGATACCACAGACAGCTCGAGAGAGTGGCGGGTGATCGCTATTGTTGGTAACAGAATAGTCTGATGATAATACGATGGTTTGATCGTCGATTGTATGTAGTTACATTGGTGTAAGGCGTTGTATACAGTCGACTGCTGACTATAGTGGGCGTGTAGAGTTCCGATTCAACAACGAATGTCGTATACTGCAACCAATTTTTGTTTGTGGATACTGTGCGGCGCGCGGGTGGGGGGGGGGGGTTACGGTATGCTTTGAATTATAGGCACACATCACTATCACCACGTCCGTTGCATCACAGTTGGGACTTGCGTGCCCTGGCAGAATGGGTTCAAAAGTGTTCCGTTTCACTCGCTGCACTTGTCATAGCACGACCCCACTCACCTTCGCCCTGAGGAACTATGCTCCTACTACATAGGGTATGTTAGCAAACTAGCTATCCATAAGTCACGACTGCATGCCACAGCACAAGACAAGACAAGACAAGACAAGACAAGACAAGACACGCCCTGCTCACCTCTGCCTCGTAAAGTCGTGTTCAAAGTGTGTGGGATAGGTCAGCAGGTACTTCATGATCGATGTCGCTTGGACGGCGTTACACACTTCCGGTCGCACTACCGCAGGGACGCCCACCTGAGAGAATAGAGTGGTAGGTAGGCAGGCGTACTTTTACTTCCCTTTCTGTGCAATATATTGATTGTATTATAGAGACTGCTAGTATCTATATCCATCACTTGTTAGATGAAGTTGTTGATGTTACATAAATAAGTTCCCATGCGCTGCGCAAATGCGTATACCATCCGCTGCAAAGGTAGGCTGCGATACGCATGGGCTAAGTGCCCTGTGAGTGGCTACGCAAGACGCACCCCCGCGAATCTCAGTACAAGTGCCAACCACACGCACCACGCCATGCCCACACGGCACAGGCATACAAGCAATACAGCATTCGTTAGGGGTATATAAGACATCCCACTGGCGCTCTTACTACGGGGCGGTTAACACGTGCGCCCATGGGGTGAGTACAGTACTGGTGTGTACTGTAGATATGTGTAGTCTCTGTCAGAACCATACAATACATGCCGCTTTCAAATACGATACGTCCCGATTTCAAATACAATATATCTCGCTTACAAATACAATACATCCCGGTTTCAAATACAATACATCCCGGTTTCAAATACGATACGTCCCGGTTTCAAATACAATATATCTCGCTTTCAAATACAATACATCCCGTTTTCAAATACAATATATCTCGCTTACAAATACAATACATCCCGGTTTCAAATACAATACATCCCGGTTTCAAATACGATACGTCCCGGTTTCAAATACAATATATCTCGCTTTCAAATACAATACATCCCGTTTTCAAATACAATACATCCCGCTTTCAAATACAATACATTCCGTTTTCAAATGCAATACATCCCGCTTTCAAATACAATACATCCCAATTTCAAATACAATACATCCCGCTTTCAAATACAATACATCCCGCTTTCGAATACGATAC